GAGGGGGGAGGGGAAGGGGAGGGGAGGGGAGGAGGGGGAGGGGAGGAGGGGGAGGGGAGGGGAGGGGAGGCGGCGGCGGCCGCCCTGGACCCGGCTCACCTGAGCACAATGCCAGCGCACAGGAGCGTTCCGAAGGCCAGGCTCCCCCCCGCCACCAGGAAGGTGGGCAGCGGCCCCGCAGACGAGTTGTGCACTAGGAGAAGGGAGACAGGGAGGAAGGGCAGAGCTGGCGCCCCGGGCGGAGCCGGCTCTCGGGCCTGCACACCGCGACCCCAGGGCCCCAGGCCTCGGCGAGGGAGGCGCCTGCGGCTCAGGGCCACGGACGCCCACTCACCATGGGAGCAGCTGAGCCAGTGGCCGTGGGCCTGTCCCCCAGGGCACGGGGGGCGCAGGGCCCGGAGGCCGTGGGGGCCCCGTCGATGGCAGCCCCACTAAGGACGAAGTCAGGGGCTCAGGCAGATTCAATCAAGCTTCCTCCATGGGGGTGTCACCTGTCACCACACTTGGTCCTCAGGCCACAGCCACGTGGCCCTCACCTTCCCCTCGTGTGCTGCGCTCCCGCTCCCTGGGGCTCCCCCTTCCCTCCCAGAATGCTCTGGGAAGTCCTCAGCTGTCCAGTCCCGACTAGACAGGGCCTCGCGAGAGGCGAGGCCACTTCCCTGGTGGAGCGACCCGGCTCCAGGCGCCCCTGCGGGAACCTCTCCAGCCCCAGCTGCAGACTGAGCCCCTGCAGTGGGGCCACCGGTGCGCTTCCCACTGTGACGCCCGCCTGCCCACGCAGAGCCGCCAGACCGCCGGCGCCCAGGCTCCACGCTCCCGGGCTGAGCACGCAGACCCCCGTGGCTTCCAGGCTCCGCCGGGCGCGTCCACCTGACACTCCCTGCTCCCCGCGGCCCCTGGACGCGCCTCCCAGGAGCCCAGGCCAGACACTGGCTGCAGGACGGGTCTCCCCAAGCTCGGTGGAGACGACCGTTTAACAGAGGCAGCGATTGGCTTCCTCCCTGACTTTGGTATTTGTTTTTTCCCTCATTCAACAAATATTTAGTGAATATCTATCAATAGAAAGCTTTGTTCTAAGCCACAGGGATACAGGATGACAGAAAAGCTCCTGCCTTCCTGGATCTTACATTCTAATCAAGAGAGAGACAAACAAATAACTATGTCACATGACCTTAGCAGGAAGGAGGGCAATGGTGAAAAGTAAAACAGAGGAAGGTCAAGGAGTGACGGTGGGCGAGGGGGGGGTGCAGGGGCAGGCGGGAGTCCGTCAGATGCCGAGGCTCTGAGCAGAGATCTGGCTCCGTAAAGGAGCTGGCCAGGCCAGGGGAAGAGCCCTCAGGCAGAGCAAGCAGCATGTGCAAAGGCCCGGAGGTAGAGAATGTGAGCACAGTGACAGGGAGAATGGACAAGGCGAGGTGTGAGACGGGTGCCTGACCCCACAGAGACCGGAGCCTGGATGTGTGATTGCACAGCCCCTCTGGCTGCTGGTTGGAGAGGGTCTGTTGGGGGTTAGGAGGAAAAGCTCGGTGACCCGCACCAGCTCCTCAAGTCCTGCGAGAGGAGAGGCAGTGGTGGCAGAGGGGACGAGTCTCTTGGGAACAGCAGGGCTGAGGGAGTGCCCTGAGGGCGGGTAGAAGAGGAAGCGTGCCCAACCCCCACCCCGAGCAGCCCAGAGAATGTGATGCCAGTTACCGAGATGAGGAGGGCAGAAAAGAACAGGGCTGGAAAGGGCAGGAGGCATTAAGTGTTCGGTTTCCAGCGTAATTGTGAGATTTCCAGTGGGTGTCAGACCAAGGGCACACTCCCACCGGGCCTGGGGCAGGGAGCCTGGGCCATCGCCACGCCATCCACGGACTGACGGATGGCCTTCCATTCCCAGAGATGGGGCTGGAGGAGCTCCCCGAGGCCCCTCCCCCACAGCAGCCCCTGAACTGCGCCATCCCCCCCCCACGGCACCTCCTCCGGGAACGTTCTGTGATCCCGACTGGACATGCCCTCACACGTCTCTGAATTCCACTCGCTTTACCTATGCCTCCGCTTTAGCCAACCCACGCTGCCCTCCATACGCTTACCTGACCACCACTGCAGATCCTGGGAGGGAGGGGAGCCTTCAGCCCCCCCCAGCCCCCAGCTGTGGCGCCCCAGGGAGTCAGCAGCACCCCCAGCCCCCAGCTGTGCCGCCCCAAGGAGTCAGCCCCCCACCCCCAGCCGTGCAGGGCACAGCCCCAGGGAGTCAGCAGCCCCCCAGCCCCCAGCTGTGCCCCCCCAGGGAGTCAGCAGCCCCCCAGCCCCCAGCTGTGGCGCCCCAGGGAGTCAGCAGATGTGTCCCAGGTGCACTACGGCCCCCAGCTGCAGGGCCCGCAGCCGGGATGGGGCCTGGGCAGGGACCCCACAGAGAGCCAGGAGCGTCAGACGGAGCTGCCCCGGCGCTGCGGCTCGGGCCTAACGCCAGGAGCCCCGTTCGTACGGTGGGCCCGGGGTCCTTCCTCACGCTGGCTGGCTGCCCCGGGCTTGCAAGTACACGGAAGCCGCAGCACTGACATCAAGGCCCCCAGAGAGCTCCCCCAGCCTGCATCCTTCCCAGACTCCAGCCATTCGTATTCTGGGCGAACTGGGGCACATGGCACGGATGTGCGCTGCTCTTCTTACGGCCCCTCAGCGAGCGCGAGTGAACGACCTCAGACAGGAGCAAAGCAGCAGGGGAGCCGGTCGGTCCCCACGTGTCCCCTTTGGCAGAAGGCCTGCCGACACTTTGAATTAGAAAGGACTTGATGCAGAAAGTCCCCTGTGCCCCTGAGGTCACCGGAGTGTAAACGTGCCCAGTCCTTACCTGGGAGGCTGGTCGCATTTGCAGAATCTCGCAGGAGATGATTTTCGCTGTCTCCACTGGTGGTCGGTGCCTAAGACGGAGGTCCCCTGTGAGCCCGTTTCTGCAGAGCCCACCGCCATCGGGCCTCCGCCTCCGCCCTCCCTGGTCCGTCCACGGCGTCCTTCCCTCTGTTTCGGGGACCTCTCTGCTTCTGACCTGCGCCCTCCACGTCGGCACCGCGACTTGCATGATTTGTATCCACACCTCGCCTACTCGACGCAGGGCTCCTCCAGCTGCCTCTCCACAGCCTGGGCACAGACCTCCCCCCGCGGGGGCTCCAGGGACAGGCTACAGCGGCGCCGCCCCCACGCCCCATGCCAGGTGCCGCCATCTCCTGGAAACCCGCGGGCCAGAATCCTGGACCCCCACTTACTAACCCTGTGACCCTGGACAGATTCTGTAACCCCCGTGGGCGTCCGTGTCCCTCCCTCACAGGCACCACCTCAGCTCTGAACCCCGGCTTCCGTCAGGACCGAACAAGACCAGAGGAACGAGGCTCAGTGCCAAGCACATCTGGGCTGGCGCTCAGCCCGCGCCCCCCCCCCGCCCCCCGGCCACATAGCACAGGCCGCACCGGGACCTTCTGCTGGGGCCCGGGCAGCCCGCGTCGGCCGCGTGTAAGGTGCGAGGCCCGGGCCCTGTCCCTGGGCTGCCCGGCCTCCCAGCTCAGCTGGCCCTTAGGGGATTAAGGAGCACACGCAGCTGGGGGGAAACCGTATTACCCAAAGATCTGCTAGGCAGCCTCAGAGGTAATCCTCTTTCCAGAAAATTATGACACCCGGAGCCCACAGAGGAAGGGCTCAGATGCACTGAATCGAGTCCCGAGCTCGGCCGTCAGAGGCGAGGTTCTGCGCGCGGCACGGGTTCTGCGCCGGGGACACGCACCGTGGCCACGGCCGTCCTGGGACGACAGAACTGCTCTGACCCCGTTCCACAGAGGCCTGACGAGGGCAGGTGCTGGCCCGGGGCCGCATTTCCAGGAAGTGGCAGAGCCAGGATCTGAACCAAACCCCGCCTGGTGCCACCCGCCACCACCCAGCCCGCCCAGCCGCTCATGAGCTCACCTGCGTGGGGCGGGGGGCTTCGGTCTCAGCTGAGGAGCTCCTGGGTTCTGTGGGCGGAAGAGTCACGATTAATGATGGACAGGTCCCCAACGCTCCCAGTGAGCTGGTGGCCGCGTTAGCTAACGAGCGTCACGCTAGAATGAGCAGATAGCCAGCCTGAACGATTATAGTTAAATTAGTTACATAAACTAAAGAGTTACGTAAACTATGATATAGCCATGTTTTGCAACAGTCCTTAAAAATAAAGGAAAAAAATGTTGAGGACGTAGTTATGTGGAAAGTGCAAGATGAGGAAGGCCCACACGGTCTGGTGTGAAGTCCCTACAGAAGAGCTCTGGGTCACTGCTGGTGCAAGCATATACCTACGCACATGCACGCACGAGGAGCAAACAGAAGAACACGTCACCGGGTGGAAGCCCTACCACCACGTAAAATTTTTTCCTGGGGCGCCTGGGTGGCTCAGTCCGTTAAGCGTCCGACTTCGGCTCAGGTCATGATCTCGCGGTTCGTGGGTTCGAGCCCCGCGTCGGGCTCTGTGCTGACAGCTCAGAGCCTGGAGCTGCTTCAGATTCTGTGTCTCCCTCTCTCTCTGAGCCTCCTCTGCTCATGCTGTCTCTCTCTCTCAGAAATAAATAAAACATTAGAAAAAAATTAAAAATAAAAATAAAATTTTTTCTTAATGTTTATTTTTGAGAGAGAGGCAGACCGTGAGCAGGGGAGGGGCAGACAGAGACGACAGAGAATCCGCAGCAGCTCCAGGCTCTCAGCTGTCAGCACAGAGCCCAACGCGGGGCTCGAACCCACGAACCGTAAGATCATGACCTGAGCCCCCCAGGCGCCCCAGCGCTCTGATTTTCTTCTATTCACCTTTCGCAATAGAAACACATAAAGTAATTCTCATCCCCTGGGTGGGTTTGGTAGGCTTTGCCCAGGAAGGACCACGGTGCAGGCACACGGGAGGCTCCCCTTCCTGGAACCCCGCCCCCAGCCCGCCGCAGGAGGCCAGGCGGCCGAGCCAGAGCACGGACACTAGGCCAGGCTCGCGGCAGGAGTGGCCCCAAGGCAGCAGGGCTGAATGTGACGGGCGTGGGCGGAATGCTCTGGGGGTTAAATCTTTTCTTTCCATTCCATCATTTTTCTGTTGAGAAATTAAAAACACTACGGAAATGGTGTCACGTTTCCAGGAGGAGAAGACGGGGACAGAGGTGACCCTGCTTCTGCTCAGGCAAGCGCGCCCAGGAGGACAGCGCCGTCCCCAGGAGGGGAGGAAACACACACCCGCAGCCCTGGCGGGAGGCCAGGGCACGTTCACCCTCCCGCTGTACGAGGAAACAGAGCCCAGAGACGGAAGGCAGCAGTCCAGGATCACACAGCAAGTCAGCCCGGTATCAGCTGGGTGAGACGGGGAGGGCCCAGTCCCCAGAGGAGAAAAGGCAGATGCACAGGGGTGACGGAAGGCCAAGCTCAGGGCACGGGGCCCTAAGGAAAGCTAAACCAGCCCTGCCAGGAAATACAGCCGATCAGAGACGGCCATTCGATCCAGGACTTCCCAAGCCCAGCCACGTTCCCTTCATCTGTGGCTTTCAGGTCCTGTCCTTGATCTGTGGCCTCAGAACCTGGGGTTTAAAGGCTCTAAAGGGGCGCCTGGGGGGGCTCGGCTGGTTGAGCATCTGACTCTTGGTTTCTGCTCAGGTCATGATCTTAGGAGTTCAAGCCCCTCGTCAGGCTCTGTGCTGACAGCATGGAGCCTATTTCGGATTCTCTCTCTCTCCCTCTCTCTCTGCCCCTTCCCAGCTCATTCTCCCTCTAAATAAACAAACAAACAGTAACAGAATATTTTAAAATTAAGTCTTACAGAACAAGACTTTTTAAAGGTCTTGGATGACCTAGATGGCCGTGGGGACGCCGATTCAGACCGTTCTGTCCCGGAGGGAGACGGTAAAGTAGCTTCTGCACTGTTATGAATAATGACCTTTCCCATTTTACAGACGGACACACCGGGGCTCGAGGGCAGCCAGGCCCGCAGCACCGGCGAAACACCGCGAACGCTGCCAGGACCAGCCTTTGCGGACGGCCGCGACCCGCCAGTTCCAAGGGTCCAGGTGCCTGCTGTTCTGTCCCATCTTACGCTCAGTGTCCCCGGGAGGCAGGCACCGTGAGCCAGGTTTACAAAGACACTGAGGCTCAGAGAGCCATCACCCACATCAGGGAGCGCAGGGGTTTTTTCTGTTTAGGCAGAAGTGTTTCTATTTCCTACTGCCTCCCTTCAGCCAGTGAGCTGGGTGGAGACAGGGCCCGCATGGCCCCAGAAGTGACCGTGGCGGCAGCGGTAACGAGAGCCTGCATTTATTGAGCACTTACTGTGGGCCAGCCTCTGACTCCACGTGACTTAATGAGTTCAGGCTGCACACAGGACTCTGAGACGGCCCATTACTCACCCCCATCCTACACACGGGGAAACGTGCCGGGGACGGTCAATAACTTGTCCCAGGCTTGTAAGAACTAAGTGACAAATCTTTCTGGATCTAAAAACGGACTTTTTTTTTTTTCCTTTATTTTAAAACCATCAAGGGGCGCCTGGGTGGCTTAGTCGGTTAAGCGTCCGACTTTCGCTTAGGTCATGATCTCGCGGTTCGTGGGTTCGAGCCCCGCGTCGGGCTCTGTGCTGACTGCCAGCTCAGAGCCTGGAGCCTGTTTCGGTCTGTGACTCCCTCTCTCTCTGACCCTCCCCTGCTCACGCAGTCTCTCTCTCTCCTAGAAATAAATAAAACATTAAAAAAAAAATTTTAAAACCATCTCTAGACTGAACGTTTCTCAGATTCAGAGACTGTGTCTTCCTCACTTCTGAGAACTCAGGATGTAACACATTTTTCTGAAGAACCGTGTCGTTAGCTAAATTTCGATTATGGAAAAGCACTTAGGAAAAAGACTCTGAAACACTAAGTGGGGTGGCTACTGCGTGTTCCCCTTGTACGAACATTTCCGAGACGACAGGAGGAACCTCTACACTCGGCACCAAGAGTGAACTAACAGAAGCCCACACAGGAGTCTTGGGGTTCTGGTCCCGCAAGTTCCTAACACAAGAAACCCCTTTCCATTAACTTGAGGGTTGATCTGAGTTTGCTCTCTTGGGTTTTGAACAGAAAAATCCAATATAAAGATGGCAGAGGCTTTCAGGACAGAATAAATCAACTCGGTCCAGACACTGAACCTTAGACACTTCCTGCATTTCTGATCAGGGTGGGCGGCTTCCTCCCGGACAGATCGCCTTAGATCACATATGCAGGAAGTACCTAGCCTGGCGCACCTGATTTGTTTTAAAATGGACCTGGGGCACCTGGGGGACTCAGTCAACTGATTGTCCGACTTCAGCTCAGGTCACGAGCTCATGGTTCATGGGTTCAAGCCCTGCATCGGGCTCTGTGCTGACAGCTCAGAGTCTGTGTCTCCCTCTCTCTGACCCTCCCCCACTCATGTTCTGTTTCTCTGTCTCAATAATAAACATTAAAAAATATTTTTTTTAATGTTTTATTTATTTCTAGGAGAGAGAGAGAGAGACAGCATGAGCAGGGGAGGGTCAGAGAGAGAGGGAGTCACAGACCGAAACAGGCTCCAGGCTCTGAGCTGGCAGTCAGCACAGAGCCCGACGCGGGGCTCGAACCCACGAACCGCGAGATCATGACCTGAGCGAAAGTCGGACGCTTAACCGACTAAGCCACCCAGGCGCCCCAAAAAATATTTTTTAAATAAGTAAGTAAACTTAAAAAAATTTTTTTAATAATAACAAGTCCTGGGGATGTGACACAGCACAGGGCCACAGCAACGGTGCCACATTGCTTACTTGAAAGCTGCCATGAGACTGGATCTTGGAAGTTCTCATCACAGGAAACAGATATGTGTAACTACACGTGGTGACGCACGCTAAGCAGACAGCGTGACCATCATGCAGCAACAGATACAAATATCAAGTCACTGGGTTGTATGTCTGAAACTAATACGATGTAATATACCAATTATATCTCGATAAAACTGGGGGGGGGGCGCAGAAAACATACACTTCTTTCCAAGAAAATAATTGTAAATGGCATGTTATGACCTTCAGGGCAGGGCTCAGGGGCGGCAGTGCAGACAGGGAAACAGAGGCGGGCCAAGCATTAGAAGCGGAAAGAGAAAGGAGGCGGAGCTTGCAGAGAGGCGAGGGGACAGGGAGAGAGGGACGAACCACGGAGCCAGACGCCCGCGGGAAGGGCCAGGGGCCAGCTGTCTGTGGCCCCCACTCTGGGCCCAGGCCCCGCCTCACACCTGCCTACGCGGCCCAGGCCACAAACCGCCAGCCGGAAGGTCAGTCCTGCTCTCCCCCTGCGTGAACACCAACGCCCTCACAGAGGCGCTGACTGGCCTGGCACCCTGACTGGCACCCGGGGTGGTCCGCACCCTGGCCTGAGGTCAAAGGTCACACCACGTGGGAGAGGCATGGCTGCGGCCCCAGCCCACCTCACCCCTTCTTTTACGGCTCGGTGGAAAGTGCCAATATGGCAATAGCTGCTTTTTACTTAACTGTTCACGTCCTTACTGAGCAAAATGAAGAGCTGGCAACCCCAGACGGTTCCGGAGTTCTTCTGGAACGTCACCAGGGTGGACGCCCAGGGCCCAGCAGCCCGGGCGGCGGACACGCGTGTGCAGGCGCCGGGCCGGCCTTGGGCCGCTGGGGCGGGGAGGCCCCTCGGGGCGCCGTCTCTCCAGAAACGTGTGCGCTCGGACTCTCCCACCGCAAACCTGCAGCCCCCACCTGGGGCCGGCCGCACACCCTGAGCAGGCCGTGGGCGCGGGTCCCAGGGGCCGCCCAGGCCTCCGCCCCACCTGTGCTTTGCCAAGCGGCTCGCCTGACACCACCGTCGGGGCCGTGGGAGGGGAGGCCTGGAGGGGCCTCGAGGGGCTGACGGCCGCCGGCGAGCTGTGCCCCCTCCTTCTGGCCGGGGGTCCCTGCTGCGGGTGCTGTTGGGGACACCCGGCCTTACCGGCTGGAGCAGCTCAGGGGAGCCAAGCCGCACAGCCCCTCTCCACCCTGCACCGTCCACCCCTGCCCAGAGGAGGCCCTCTGGGCTCTGCCGGCACCTGCCTCACCCCAAGCCGCCTTACGCAGGTGCTGGCCCTCCCACCCCACTTCCCCCAGGTCACACGCCCTGACTGCTCGCTTCACCGCGCTTCCCACGACCTCCACGTCCCCCAGGCGTCAGCACCACCCCCGAGGCCCGGGGACCTCGTTCCCACTGACCCTCATTCCCACGGGTGCACCCCAGTCTCCAGCCTAACCCCCTGCGCAGAGGAGAGCTGCTGGCTTTCTGTGTTGGGCATCTTTCCCACTGGGGCTGTGAAGACCCGCGAGACCCCGCACGCACAGGACGGGGCTCCAGACGCTTCGGAGAGGAGACACGGACGGAGAGGAGACCAAGTGTCCCGTCAGCCACGACGGCGACAAAGTCAGAGGCTGTCCGCGGCTGGCAGACGGCGGGGGCTCCCACTGCGGGGACAGGCCAGTCATTTAGAGAGGAGCATCCACAAACGAGACGAGGGGCAGGAAAAGGCAGCCAGACAGGGGAGCCCCAGGGGCCGGGCCAGCCGGGGAAGAGAAAGGGGGGGCAGGCAGACGCGGGGGCCCAGAGGCCTGCAGAGCGAACACGGCCTCGGGTCGCCCTGAGGGCAGCGGGGTTCACACGAGTAAGGACGCTCTTCTTGAATCGACACTTCAAAGAAGATGTACACGTGGCCAGAGCACGTAACAAGCTGCCACCACCGCTCATCCTCACGGGAGTGCAGAGCAGAGCCACAGCCCTGCCTCACAGCCGCGGGGACGCTGGGATCAAAACCCACAAACAAACAACAGAAATGAGCAGCTGTCACGAGGATGGGAAGAAGCTGGACCCTGGTCCTCGCTGACAAGAACGTAAAACGGTGCAGGGGCACGGGGGGAGCGGGGGCTCAGTCGGGGAGCAGTTGAGCGAACGACTCCTGATTTCGGCTCAGGTCATGATCTCATGGTTTGTGAGTTCAAGCCCCGTGTCGGGCTCTGCGCTGAGCATGCAGAGCCTGCTTGGGATTCTCCCTCTCTCTCTGCCCCTCCCCTGCTTGCACACGCACACGCACTCTCAAAATAAACAACAAAAAAAAAAGATCGTAAAATGGTGCAGCCACTGCAGAAAAAGGTCTGATGGTTCCTCAAATAATTAAAAATAGAGTTACTGTGTGATTCAGCAATCCCACTTCTGGGTGTGTACTCAACAGAACAGGAAGCAGGGGCCCAAAGAGACACATACACACCCACCTCCCAGCAGCACCGTTCACAATAGTGACAAGGTGGACGGAACCCTGGTGCTCAACCAGAGGAGCGGGTAAGCGAGATGCGGTGTATTCAGAGGGCGGAACGTTCGTTACTCAGCCTTACAAAGGAAAGCGATTCTGACACGTGCTGCCGCGCAGACGGACCTGGAAAACACGACGCTCCGTGAAACAGGCCAGTCACGAGGACACACGGTGGCGATTCCGCTTATACGAGGCCCCCGGCAGCGAGACGCGTAGAGACAGAACAGGAAGGGGCGACGCCAGGGGCTGGGGGTGGAGGGGGGGTCGCCGTTTAATGGGGACAGAGTTTCAGTTTTGCAGGATCAAGTTCTAGGGTGTGGACGGTCTAACAGCTGCAGAGAACTGTGGACATACTCAACGCCATCTTAACACACTTAAAAACAGTCATGATCGTAAATTTCAAGTTATATATATTGTACCACAGTTAAACATTTTTTTTAAAATGTTTTATTTATTTCTAGGAGACAGAGAGAGAGACAGCGTGAGCAGGGGAGGGTCAGAGAGAGAGGGAGTCACAGACTGAAACAGGCTCCAGGCTCCGAGCTGGCAGTCAGCACAGAGCCCGACGCGGGGCTCGAACCCACGGACCGCGAGATCATGACCTGAGCCGAAGTCGGACGCTTCACCGACTAAGCCACCCAGGCGCCCCTCAGTTAAACATTTTTAAAGAGAAAGAAAGAACTTTCTAACAAAACAACCTCTTAGAGCGGTTTGTGATCATCTAAATTAAGTGGTGGGATAAAAGGTAAACGAGGGTGAGCCCGTTCCGAAACATGCCCTGTGCACACGGCGTGAGCAGCTCTCTCCCCCTGCAAAGGCTTTCGGGGCCACGGTGACGTTCAGCGCTCAGGGGATGAGCGTGTCTGGGCTCAACGTGTATACAAACAAATCAAAGAAAACCAGGGGCAGGTGACAGGACAGGGGTCAGGGAAGACCGAGGAAGACACGCAGAGCCCGCGGCAACTCGTCCGGCTGTCCCGGGGCAGGAAAGGCACGGAGCTCACAGGGCAAAGCAGGGAGGGGAAAAGCCATGTCCTTTCCGGGGGAAGAACGCCAACCTCCGCATGCAAGCCTTCCCCCTGGGGCTGCGGTGGAGAGAGTGCCGGCCAGGGCTGGGCCTGGGCAGCTGGTATCACTTCTATCTTTTTCTCTTTATCCCTACGTATTTAATAAACCAATAAACAGATACCATATTCTTTCTTTTTTTTAACTGCCTAGTATTTAAGAACAACTCATTTGTTTCGATTATGCTTCTGAGCTAATGAGATCTCAGCCTGAAGCAAGCCTGGAAGCTGTTCTCTAATGAAAACACTGGGAACAACAGAATGGGCTGCCACGGCAGGTAGTGAGCTCTCCATCTCTGGAAGCATTCAACCAGAGCCTGCACAACCACTCTACGCACTGTGATCCAGTCCCGGTACTGGGTCTGGGCCTGCTGAACCCTAATCTTCCACAGCAAGGAGTCGAGACTTCTCAGGACACCTCCAGTTGTTTTCTCAGGAAAAACGTGAAACAGCCGTGCGGGCTTGCTGCCCTGGGCTCGGGAGGCGCCAGCGGAGCTAGAAACAGGCCAGCGGCTCCTCTGGAAAAGCAGGACTGGGAACGGCAAGCCGACGAAAGGGCCACGGTTCCCACAGGCCCTGCTTTGCTTCTCTGCCATGAGAATGTACTAACTCGATACAAATTTCAGAATTTTTCTTATAAAAACAAGACACTGCGGGCACCTGGGTGGCCCGGTCGGTTGAGCATCCGACTCTTGATCTCAGCTCAGGTCTTGATCCCGGCGTCCCGGGTTCAAGCCCCACGTCCTGCTCTGCACTGATGGTGCGGCGTCTACTTAAGAGTCTGTGTCCCCCTCGCTCTCTGCCCCTCCCCCGCTCTCTCAAAATAAACATTAAAAAAATTAACCATGTAGTTACTAAACAATGCATTTTCAAAAAATATTTAATAACGAGAACGCTCACAGTATTCTCTCCTCCTCCCACACACTCGTATTTAAAAAAAGGAAAGAAGCCTATGAAAATGTTCTCACTGGTTTTCTCCAGGCAGTAAAAACACTTATAATAAGGCGCGCCTGGGGGGCTCAGTCGGTTAAGCATCCGACTTCGGCTCGGGTCATGGTCTCACAGTTCGTGGGTTCGAGCCCCACGTGGGGCTCTGTGCTGACAGCTCAGAGCCTGGAGCCTGTTTCAGATTCTGTGTCCCTCTCTCGCTCTGCTCCTTCCCTGCTCACGCTGTTTCTCTCACTCTCTCAAGGATAAATACACATTAAAAAAAACCACTTATAATAATATTTTTTCATATTTTTGTGGGATTTTTCATGTTCTATCACAACCACAGTAACTTCAATCATTCCCCAAAGGCAATTACTTTTACCTTTAACATCTTTTTTTTTTTTTTTTAACATTTATTTATTTTGAAAGACTGAGCGTGGGACGGGTGAGGGGCGGAGAGAGACATGCGGAATCCAAAGCAGCTCCAGGCTCTGAGCACAGAGCCTGACACGGGGCTCGAACCCACGATCTGTGAGATCATAACATCTTTTTTTTAATGTTTATTTATTTTTGAGAGAGAAACAGAGAGACAGCGTGAGCAGGGGAGGGTCAGAGAGATAGGGAGTCACAGACTGAAACAGGCTCCAGGCTCTGAGCTGTCAGCACAGAGCCCGACTTGGGGCTCGAACCCACGAACCGCGAGACCATGACCTGAGCTGAAGTCGGACACTTAACTGACTGAGCCACCCAGGCGCCCCTACCTTTAACATCTTTTTAAAGTTAGGAAATGTCAGTAGCTGTGGTTCACTAAACGCAGCTACAGATTCTTTGAGGCCCCCGTTGTGCAGCGATCACAGCGGCCGCACAACAGCAACAGCCACCACCAGGGGCACGTGTCCCTGGGCCCCGTGGCCTCCTTCCAAAGTGGCTGGTGTCTTAGCGCTGGTTGGGGGTGACCTGCCACACAGTAACCGCAAACCAGGCAGTACGGCCGAGACCCCCGCGCCCACACAGTACCTGTCCACGGGGCGCCTGTGGCCTCGGGGCTCCACGTGCTCCAGGAGCCGAGCCCGAACTCCTCCTGAGCCCGGAGCTGCACCCGGTGCCGCTCGCCTTTCCAGGCGTCGCGGATGATGCAGCGGTGCTCCAGCTCCTTGACCTGGGGCGGGACACAGCGACTCAGGGCGGCCCCCCAGGGACAGTGTGCCCTTGCCCCCCCTCCCCACAGGCCCATGAGCGACTTGGCGGCACGGTCACCCCTGCCGCTCCCCGCCCTGCCCTCTGCGGCGGAAGCTGTAAGTCACAGGAGCCTGCGGGCCGCACCCTCAGCACACCTGCCCCCCAGGTCACACTCCCACACAGCCCGTGAGGAGGAGGGGCCTGATGTCATCTTTCCCGTTTGACAGATGAGACAACAGAGGCTCAGAACGGTTCAGGGACTCACCCACAGCCACTCGGGCAGTGAGTCACCAAGCAGGAGCCCAAGCCGCGCTGCTCTTTCCGGAACCCTTCCTGCCCCCAGCACCCAGCGCCCTTCTCCGTCCAGAAGTAAGAGGAGAACTTACCATCCAAGTCGTGAACGTCTTTGACCTCTCGGCGCGGTACCGGAGCTCAAACCGTAGCTTGTAGAAGCTGGAGTTCCAGGAAGGAGGGTCCTGCCAGCTGACCCGGAGCCAGCGGGGGTTTCTGGGCACGGCAGTGACAGTGACGTTGACCGGCGGGTCCGGCTGCACTGCGGGGGGGGGGGGCAGGCGCTGGGGCGGGAGCCTCGGGCCCCAGCCCCGCCCCGCCCCCCACGGAGTCAGAGGGGACCGAGGCAGCCGGGGTGGGGGTCCCGAAGAGCCTACTCACGGATTCCATAGCCCTCGAACGTTTGGGGACGGCTGGACTTGCTCCCGGCAGCATTGGTGACGCACAGGGACACCACGTACAAGGAGTTGTCCCCCTCGGGGACCGCCAGCTGGCAGGAGAAGGTCCGCGGCCCCGGGAGGTACTGGCACGGCTCCTCGGCGTCTCCCGCGGGCCTGGTCCCGCTGCGCACAGGACACGGGGGCCTCACCGCCAGCTCCTGCCCCCGGGGGCAGGGGGGAGCCGGCCTGGACGCCCGCTGCCTGCCTGCTCGGGAGCGCAGAGCCCAGCCCTCGCCCCTGCCCCCCAGCGTCCAGGCTCTAACCGAACAGCCTTGCCCTCAGGCGCAGGCGCAGCCACCACAGTCAGTACCACCCGGCTGGGGGAAGAGAGTTTCTGGCTGAAGATATTTGAAGTGAGTCAGACAGGGGTCACCTAGCCTGGAGGCCTGAGACTTCCCACCTTTGACGGGTGTGAGCAGGCAAGGCCCGGCAGCCACTCCCGGCAGCCACTCCCGGCAGCCACTCCCGGGCCACAAGGGGGCAGACCCGCTGATTCAGGGTTAGGCCCGGGGCCCAGGACAAATTCCCTCCTCCTGGGAAGCCTGCTCCTGCGTCCCCAGCGGGAGTCAGAGCCTCCTTCCCTTCAACACCATCCGGCCCCCCTCCTGGGGTCGGGGGTGGGGTTCGGAGGGCTCTGGTAAGCTCGGAGCCCAGGGCACGTGCTGACCTCAGCCAGCGCTCGGGAAGGACGGGGGAGACAGCACGGGGCGAGGGTGCCCACGTGTGCACGCGCCTCTTCCGGGGCCCGTGTGATCCGCGCAGGCGCCCGGGGCTGCTCCCCTCCCCCTCGGTCGGGGGTGGGGCGCAGGGGTGGGGGTGCCAGCAGCTGCTGCAGGGGAGGGTGAGCCCCGTGCACAGAGCGGCCTGAGCACCAACACCTGCCCGGCCCCACAGCGTCACCCGCCCAACCCAGCTGCGGGCTCCGATCCTCCCCATGGGCGGCGACGCATCTGTGCGGACCGTCTACACAGCTCTAAGCGGAGCCCCAGGCATTAATGTTAGCCCCCCACACTCTGCGACAGACGCGGTGGGGACCAGACCCTCCTGGGCAAGTCGCAGCTCCGATTTCCTGATGCTCCGAAGACCATCAGCTCAGACTCCGTAAGAAAGGCCTGGACCACGGGGCCGAGACGGGCCGACCACAGGGCTCTTTCCAGCGTCTCCACCTCCCGCTCCACCCCCCACCCCCCCCACCCCCCACCCCCCGCCCCAGCCTGCTCCTCTCCGGCCAATCTAATGGACGCAGCCAGCACGGCTGACAGGAGCGGCCGCTCTTCGGGCACTGGGGCCCTGGGGCACGGGACAGCTCCTCCTTGGGGCAACGCCCGAAATCTGGTGTTTTCAGTAACACCAGACAGGCTGGGACTTGATTCCCAGCAGGGCCGCCTGCCAGCAAGATGACCTTAAACAAGTTAATCAGTCTCTCAAGCTCCGCTTCTCCATCTGCTCAACAAGGAAAATGACCCGGTTCGCGCTGTGGCCGTAAGCGCAGCGGCGTCCGGCGGCCCGGCCCCTCCCCCGCCCCACAGCCAGTCCCCGAGGCTGCGAGGCTGCGTGCGGGCCCGGCCTCAGGGGGCTTGAGAGGCAGATACTCACAACTTCCTCACCAGGAGCGTGGCCCTGGTCGTCCAGGACGGGGGGCTCCGAGGACCCCACTCACAGGACACCTTGCTGAGGAGGCTCTTCCGGAAGCAGGTGATCTGGGGCTCCTCGGGAGGGGCTGAAGCGAGAGCGCGGCCAGTGTGGGGGGGGCACGGCCCTGAGGCCAAACAACCCCCGCCCCCCGCTCATTCATTTCATCTCTGTAACTACTCCGAGTGGAGTAAAAAATTAACCGTATCTGCCAGCGAGGCACTGAGGGCACAGAGGTTACACCATGAAGGAGGAGGAGCACTCCAGGCCTCAGGCTGTTAACCCCTCAGGCCAGGGGGGGCAGGGGTCCCTCAGCCGGGCAACCTCCCCGCCACGAGCCTGGGCCTGACCCCTCGGGCCAGCGGGCAGGGGTCCCTCAGCCGGGCGACCTCCCCCCATGAGGAGCCTCCTTCAGGCTCCCTGCTGGCGGTCATCAGTGTGTCCTCCCCTGGATGTGTCCGGCCAGGGAAATATCAGGAGTCTAAAGCGACAGCTGAGGGTACTCTGCACGCACAACTCACCTTCCACCAGCAAACGCACGGTTCCAGCCAGGCGGCCATCCCGGTAACAGGAGTAGTTTCCAGAGTCGCTGGGCTGCACCGACCTCAGAAGCAGCCGCCCTCCTGCGCCAGCACCACGGTCCGGCCGGGAGCCTGGGACCCGGCTCCCCAGCAGCCAGTGAACCACAGCGCCGTCTCCCGGCTCCTCGCCCGGGCAGGTCAGGGTCACGCTGGCCCCAGGCCAGGCAGTCACCACATCACTCGGCACCTCTGGGGACGGAGAGGACACCGCGTAAGTGTCCAGGAAGGACTTTGCTTCTGACACGAGAAGTCACCGGAGTCAGAACTGCCCACCTCCCAAGGCCGACCGCTGGCCCAGGCCACGGCCGCCACGGCCCAATTACGGCAACGGCCTCCCGGGGAGCCCCCAAGCCGCCCCCGACTCTTTCGATTAGATAACCCATCAAAGGCTGCCCCCATCCCAGCGTGAGCACCGAGCGTGAGGCCAGGCGCACAGGGACTTCCGCCACCTGGCCCCCCGCCCACCCCACGCCCCATACGACCTCCTACGTCACGTCTCAGCCTGAACCTCCCCTCCCCGAGGCCGTCCCTCGCCCTGTCTCCCACCCTACACTGAGGGGGGCGCGGGCCCCTTCCGGTGTTTTCTGTGTCACCGCGTAGCTATCGACCTTCCCCCATGCGGCTCTGGGTCGCCTGCCCAAGACTGTCCCTGAGGGACTCAGACCCGAGTGTGCGCGTGTGTCCCCCGTGTCCTGCTTCGTGGCTGAGCACGCGGCACCGAGACGCCCATCAGGTCCACAGAGCGACTTCCATCTGCGCCTGAATGAGCTTATGCTTAGACCAGACCCACCCATTGCTTTTTTTAAAAGACTCGTTTCATTTTTAAGTAATCTGTACACCCAAAGTGGGGCTTGAACTCATGGCCCTGAGACCAAGGGTCACGTGCTCTAACTAGGCAGGTGAGTTCTTTAAGATTTTATTTCTACCACCCGACACTCTGACCACCATGCCCATATCTCTACTTCTCCATCTTCCGCTCGACAAAACTTCACAGGGACATCAAGCTGACACGCGAATCACCCACCAGCTTCGAAGGGACAGACGGGGACCCTGCCACGCAGGGCTGCCCGCTGGTGCGCGTGGGGCCTACGGCGTCCCTCAGACACAGGCAGGCTGCACGCGGGTCCCGGTGGAGGCCAAGGGCCCAAGAGGGGCCTTCACAGGACACTGTCCGTGTCCCCAACCATGACTCCGAGACAGTGAGCTCCTGCCAGCACTCATCAAAGAGCTCAGCAGTAAGTGCTCGTTAATAATGCTTAGTATCGGGTGCCTGAGGGGGCCCTCAGGGACAGGGGCTCCGCACACAAACCCCAGCGGAGCCCGGAGAAGGGTCCCTCTGGGGGTCCCTCCCCCCACAGGAGGTCCTGCCTCGAGTGCGACCAGCCTGAACGACAACAGGGGCTGTTCCTTGCCCGCTCGCTCTAACAATGGCCAGAGCACTGGGGAGCTCAGAGAAACAGCAAATAAATAGGCTTTTCTTCGCGTTCACAAAAACAGGGCTCTGGGAGCAGTGAGGGCCACTCCCTCTGTCAAGGGGCTTGAGTAACGCTTTTCTGAATCTTTAAAACTGAGTCACTATTTTTTTTAAGGGGGTGATAAATTATAAACCAGCTGTTGGCAACTACTGCTCATTCCAGCCCCTCCCCAAAATACATCCCTACTAGGGGCACGTGGCTGCGACTCCTGATCTCAGGGCCGTGGGTTCAAGCCTCACGCTGGGCACAGAGCCTACTGAGAAAACAATGTGCAAAGTACATTTCTTGCAGAACCTGTGAACAGCACTGTGTTGACGAGGTTTCTGAAAGCACTGCGTGCGCGGCGGACAGACGGAAGGGAAGCCCAAAAGGAAATAAACGCGCTAAAACCAGAACATGCAGTGTACCCGGCCACGCACCCAGGCCTGCGCCTGATGGGGCTCCGAGCCGGCTGTGACACCCACGTGGCGGTGCGGGCGCCCAGGGCACCTGCCCTCTCTGCCCCCTCCAGACGCTGGGACTGGAGTGACTTCCTGCAGTTCGGGGATTTTCTACAAGCCGTTCACTCTCAGAATGAATGTGTATCTGACTTTCAGACAAAGAGGCTTCACAGCCTGGGTCTGTCCAGGTCATTCAGTCTCGGGAGGAGGGGAAGGAGGAGCAGAGAACAGGGGGCAGGGGCGGGCAAGGGTGAGGGCAGGCTCCTTCGGGTCAGGGAGGGGCGTCCCCCCACGCGCTCCGCATAGGCCCCGGGAGGAGCTGACCCCGCGCAGAGCACCGAACAGCGAGGGAGCCCGCGCTCAGCCGGGGGCCCGGGCTGCAGGCCTGAGCCTGCCCCTCCTGAGAACTCAACACCACGGCCGGGGGAGGCCGGGGGCCTCGGCGACAGCGATGCCACCCTCACACCCCACACAGCCTGGGGGGCACAACGGCCTCTGATACAGGCCACCCCGAGAGAAACGTCCCGGATGGCCTCGCGGAGGGACCCGGAGAAGGGCCGAGCCGGGGCCTGACCACGGGGGCCGCGGGGTCGGCGCAGAGCAGCTGCAAGAGGCACCGAAGAGTGAAAGCCCAGAGGGCAGAGCCGGGTCCTGGGGCGGAGACAGAAGCCAGGGGCTCAGGCTTGGTGCGCGGCCCCAGCCCCCGACCCGACGGAGCCCACCCGTCTCTCCCTCTGTTTATCCTCCATCACCTGGAGAATAAACCGGCTGTGCCCCCCGCTCCCCCCCCAGAACAGAGTCAGGGGAGGGGGAAGGGCAGTCAAGGGTCGGGAGCCTTCTTCCTTCCCACACAGGAAAGGGTCCCCAGAGGACACAGGATGTCACCGGGGCCCAAGATCAGAAGACTGTCACCTCCTGAAAACAAGCTCAACCGCCTGCCCAGCGGGAGGGGACAGAGGCCCGAGCCCATCCCCCATCTCGCCAACAGCCCCCAGCCAAGCCCCAGTGTCTGTGAAGCCCAGGTCCCTAGTGCCCGGTTCCCGCCCCTGACGCCTCGCCACGTGGGGTGGTCAGCTCTCAGAGGTCAGGAGGCACGTCTGGGTCTGTCTCAACTTGAAAACACACAATTAGTAAATTCATTATTTAATAGTTGATGACTCTGCTTTGCACAGGGATGCAGCCCTCACGCGCTGCTCTTCTCCCCACAGAGTTTGAAGGGAGGGGAATTCCACAGCCTCCCTGCCTCCCCTTCCGCGAGAGGAAGCGAGCAGAGGCCCCGTAGCCCCCGGGACCCATCCTGCACCTGCAGACCAGACCCCCTGCTCCCCAGGGCCCGGGAGCCCCACGGCCGCAGGGGGCTCGGCGGCACGGCTCCGGGAAGCTGGGCGGAGCCCCCTCCGGACCGAAGCAGGTGCCAGAGACCGAAACAGCTTTGCTGTTTTTCTACTTATTTTTTCCCTCTTCAAGTAAACTTGCAAATGTCAGTAATCAGACAAACATGCACGCGGAGACACATTTCTCAACTCTGTTACGGCGCTCGGCCGCTCTTGCCAGCAAAAACGGGCTGGGCTGCCCGCCCCCTTTATGTAAGCGGTGAGCCAGTCACCCAGCGCACGGCCACGGAGGACGCACCTGCCCATCCAGCCCTGCTTTCTGAGCAGGGGCTCGGGTCTGGCTGCCCGGCCAGCCGGCACCAAGGACGGACTCCAGCCTCTCCGGCTGCAGAGGCCCAGGGCCCCAGAAGGGGTCCCAGAGAAAGCAGGCCCCTTCTCAGCAATAAAGGCCTTGACCTGGAAGGAAGCAGCTGCTGAGAAGTCTCCAGAAGAACCTGTGTCCAAGTGAAGAATTCAGTCCCAGGGAGCCTATAACACACCCCCAGTGCCCCGTCTACCGGCTGGAACAGATTTCCTGGTTTCCAGGAATAACTGTTAACGCCCACCACCAACCGTGAGCCTTGGCGCGTGAGCCGCGGCGGTTCACCCGCGAGCCACAGCTCCTCACAATCACCTTGTAGGAAGCCAAGCTGTCCCATATCACAGCCGAAGCGACACAAGCTCAGAGAGGTTCAGGAACTTGCCCAATTCGCACAGCTCACGAGGCCACTGCGTCTGGCCACACATCCCTCTCCTTGGGGCAGGGGCCTCTCTGGGCGCCCCCCACCTCCCCCTTCCCTGGCTGCCCACCACTGTCTCCTGCTATTTCCATGCCTTTCCACCCATCACGGAGGCTGGTGGAAGGGGGTCCTGGGTGTGAGGGGTCTGGGGGTAGTGGCCCCCCGGCAGAGCCGGCCACCAGGAGTGGTGGGTCCGGGGCTCTTACAGGAGTCAGGGGCCAAGCACCTTGACCTTCCCCAGGCAGCACCTTCTGAGACCCTACACACACACACACACACACACTCTCTCTCTCTCTCTCTCCTGCTCCCACAGGTCACTCACTCACTGGCCTAAAATCCCCAGGGCGCAGGGGAGAGGCCGCCACCTTCTCCAGCTCAGCCCCAACCCCACCCCTCCCGCCCGCAGCTGCACCCCTCCCCTGCCCGCAGCCGCACCCCTCCTCTCTCATCTGTGCTGCAGCACCTGCTTGTACTTGTCTTGTACTTGGCAGCGTCGTGTTTACCTTGGCTCCGCACGGAGGCCACACCCCCGCGCGGGGAGAGGAGGCTCCCCAGGACCCACACAGAGGTGCTGCTGGAGGCTTGGCTCCCCGACCAGCACCCCCGGCCGCGTCCTCCAGAGAAGAGCAAGGGGCCGCGCCCTGGCGGCCTCGGAGGGAATCTGCTGGCCCTGCCCCGGTCTGGCCTGGCCGCCCCCAGAGATTATCACCTAACTGGAGGGAAAGACGTGAAGGGCCGCCCCCAGGCCGACCGGGCCAGGTGCCCACGGGCAGCAGCAGCCTGGGGGGGACTGGAGTCTGGCCCTCTGCCCTCCCCCCCCCCACTTTAGACCTGAGGAAGCTAACGATCTGAGGTGCCGCAGAGTAGAGGTGGGGGGAGGGCTGCTCACGTCTGCTCCTCTTCTGAGGGGCAACCCCGTGGGCACGCCATCTGTGAAAATTCACCAAGCTGCACGTTTACACTGAGTACGCTCATTGTGCGTGTGCGGCGCTGCCACGCACATTGTAATGAAGGCCCCAAAGTCCGCTCCCGAGTCCTACCGCTGCCTGAGCCTGGGCCTACGACCCTCCCCACACAGGTGCACACACACCTGCACCTGCACACACACGCACCTGCACACCCACCTGCACGCAACATACTTATTCACACACCTGCACGCAC